GTTTCCCAAAATGTTAGTAATATCTGCAGACTGTTGTTATAGTGTGTGTGTGTGTGTGTGTGTGTGTGTGTGTGTGTGTGTTGCAGACGATTATGATATTGCATTTACTTTTAATTTCATTCTAAATTCGTTTATTCAACTTATGCTTTCAGTTTCTCCTAAAGAGGATGGCCCTGAGTACACCCAGCTGGGCAACGCACCAACCATTGAAGGCATTCGAACCTTGATGGAAAAAAGGTAATCCAACTGAACAGTCCTTCCCAGTTGCCTCATTATTGCTTCATCTAGCCTTTCCTCAACATTGAGTTCCTAATGTTTCTAAGGCAACCAACAAGAGAACTGTTAGATCGATAGCTTATTGGCCAATCTGAGATCGAGGAAAAGAACTGGGTTGAGTTGGCATTGCAGTGCATTGTGGGAATGTTTCAGGGGGCAAAAAAGACACAATCTTGGAAACAAAACAATCGAACTTCACTGCCAATTTGACCCACTTTATCCCTTAACTTTGGAGTGGCTAATGATTGAGTAACTTTGGCAAGATATTGTTCTCATTGGTCTATCAGGCCTAGTTGCGGATAAAAATAATTATCACCAGACGTCTGAACTCTTTTTATAATTTTGTAATTCCTATTATTTGCAGTATCAGTAACTTTAATTCTGAATCCTCTTTAAACTATTTCGACATTTGACATTCCTTCCTTCCTTCCTTCCTTCAATTATTCATTCATTCATTTTTATTTCATCTCCTTTTTCAAGGTTTGGCATTGAGGGAGAAGCTCTGCGGATCGAACAGGTAAGAATGATCACTTATATATTTCTCTCATGTTCTTACTTTGTTTTGGCATCAGTTACCAAGCTACGCTATGAAGATCCTTTTAAAGAACCTGCCGAAAATTAGGGTCGACACTGGGTTATTTTGAGGGGGGTAGACATTGGGTTTTTTTAAGGGGGGTCGACATTGTTTTTTTAATCGTTTTTTAGGGTGCTCGTGGGAAGTCTCTAAATGTCTCTAGCATCCCGCACTTGCTAATATCTAATACATATTGTTGATGAATTTGTAATTTTTTTTGCAGATAACGTATACGAATCGAGAAGGCAAGAATTCCCAAGGGTGTCCAATAGCACGATGGGTAAGAGAGGCCAGAAGATAGTACTAAATAGTACTAGCTACCAATAATGTGCAAAGAAAATGGGATGTAACCAAGGTCACTGGGAATAGGAAATAGAATCACCAACATGGGATTTCCTCCAAGGTTCATCGCTATATAGGATGGGATTTAGGTCACTGGTAGTGGTAAATAAGAGATATGGGGTTTCTACAGAGTTCGTCACTAGGACCCCCTACAGGACCATATCGTTCATATTTGATGTGTGTTTTTCTCATTTACTTTCCTTTTTCAAGGTGATAAAAAGATCTGGTCCCCAAGAAAAAGTCCTAGTGGTGGCCCGTAAGAGAACGAGTCACCAGTGTGATTTGGCATATCTTGTGTGCAGCATTGTCATCTGGGAAGGAATTCCTAGAGCTGAGGCTGACTCGCTTTATCGAGAACTGACCAATGTTATACCAGAGAATGGCTTGCCCACGGCTAGGCGATGTAACTACAATGATAGGTGATGATTTGTTGGCTTAAAGATCTAACTCATGTTTCTTCAAGTTAATTTTTCTCAGCACAAAATCACAATTTCCAGGCGGGAAATTCTTCTCTTCTTTTATTTCTTCAAACCCTGTTATGTACTTTCCTTCTTTCCCCATGGGAAAATTATGGAAAACGATTTTAAAATGTGATAAAACAATTATTTATCCAGAGATTCCTTTCCCAAATTTATACTCCAATATATTTGCTATCATGTTAAATGAACTCGGCAGCCATCTTTGTGCTACTGAAATTTAAAGCTCCCTTCTCAATTCACTTGCAGCAAATCCTGTGCCTGTCAAGGAATGAATGAAGAAACCTGTGGTGCGTCTTTCTCGTTCGGTTGCTCGTGGAACATGTACTTCAATGGTTGTAAGTTTGCAAGGACGAAGAGCCCAAGGAAGTTCAAGCTACTCGACCCTACAAAGGTGAGGAATATTGACTTTAGAATTTTACGAGATTTTCTTGTCTAGGTCCACAGGAATAATTTGAGAACTCGGAGCTTTCTGGTACAGCTTCGGTACATCTTCGGTACAAGCATCTTTCAGTGTTGAGCGTACCTTATATAGTAATGTCCTTACCAAAGCTACACCAGAATGCAACTTGTTTGTTTTAAAGACCTGTTTAGAAAATGGCATAAATGAATAATTTGTTTTTATTTTTATTTCTATTCCTCGACTTGAAACAATTGTTTGAAGGCAATAGAGTGTATTTGTATGTTATATAATTTCGTAAAAGAAATACTATTGAAATATAATGAATATTATTTATTATTATGTTATTTTTATCAAGCTACGCCTATACAGGGCCGTAGCCGTCAGTCAGGTTGGCCCAGTTTTAATTGGACCACATTTTATCGTCACAACCATTTTTCCTCTCATAAAGGAAGCAAGTATTAGAGAAAGTGTTTTCGGTTTCCTTTAAAAACCGGGCCACTGTCGAAATGTTGGCTACGGCCCTGGTATATCAAAAATACTGCCCGACTTGGTATACGCACGGACAACGTTAGAAAAAACGTCTAATTGTGTAAGGTGTTTGTATAGGAAGAACAGCTGGAAAATACCATGCAAGATATCGCGACATTCTTAACACCAATCTACAAGCAAGCAGCACCAGAAGCATTTGCTAATCAGGTTAGTATTAGAAATGTGCACACGTCACACTTTTTGAAGCATTGCTTCGCTTTTGTCATCAGACACAATAGGCCTCCTCGGCTGTGACGTAATGTTGTCCCATTTCAGACCACGTGTCATTCCCGTGAGAAAAATATTCTTGTTTGAGTGCATAAAATTTTTTATAAAGTAAAACGTCAAAAAA